ATCAGAAAATTTAAGTAAAGAGGTTCAAAGTCCTTATAATTCAGTTCAAAAATCAGAATTGTATGCTATTCTATTGGTATTAATGGATTTTTCAGAACCTCTCAACATAGTAACCGACTCTCAGTATGCTGAAAGTGTAGTATTACATATTGAGACTGCAGAATTTATCCCTGATGCTTCAGAATTAACTTCACTATTTATTCAATTACAAGATACAATCAGAAAAAGGAGTCATCCTTTATATATAACTCACATCCGATCCCATACTGGTCTGCCAGGCCCTCTAGCACAAAGCAATGATGAGATTGATAAATTATTGATAGGAAATGAGGCCTCAGAATTTCATAAAAAACATCATGTCAATAGTAAAGGTTTAAAAAAGGATTTTTCCATAACCTGGCAACAAGCCAAAGAAATAGTAAAGAAGTGTCCTACTTGTTCCTTCTACAATCAAATGCCATTACCAGCAGGATGTAACCCAAAAGGTACTCAAAGGAATGAAATCTGGCAGATGGACGTGTTTCACTTTGCAGAATTTGGAAAACTGAAATATGTACACCACACTATCGTTACTTATTCAGGATTTCAATGGGCAACTGCTTTGAGTTCTGAAAAAGCTGATTCTGTAATCACTCATTTGCTAGAAGTTATGGCCATCATGGGTATACCTGCACAAATCAAAACTGACAATGCTCCATCATATGTCTCTGTTAAAATGAAACAGTTTTTTGCTTATTACAATATAGAGCATATTACAGGCATACCACATAATCCTACAGGTCAAGCAGTTATAGAAAGATCAAACAGAACTTTAAAGGATATGCTGAATAAACTGAAAGGGGTAACAAAAAACCCAGAAATAGACTGCATAATGCTCTATTAACTTTGAATTTTCTTAATGCCAATGAGAAAGGAACAACAGCTGCAGAGACACACTGGATAATAGAAAAAACTACAGAATTAAATCAGCCTATATACTTTAAGGATGTGCTGACCTCAGAATGGAAACCAGGGTATGTATTATGTTGGGGACAAGGTTTTGCTTTTGTTTCTACAGGAGAAGATAAGCTGTGGGTACCATCAAAATTGATAAAGATTCGATTTCAACAAGAAAAACCTCTTAATTAGAGGAGGTGATAGTTCATCAACCAACATGAACATCCAATTTAAACTAACTTACACCAGTAACACATGCCTTTTCATTTAATCAGATAATAACTTGCCAAAAAGGAACACCCCCAAAATTAGTCTTGGGGGAAAGGTTTTTGTTTTTGTCTTTTAGAAGAATGAAGATTAAGGAATCTGAAGAACACTGGACAAATGAGACAACTGAAGAAAAGGGACAAATCATCTATCCTAAGAAACAGAGTGAAATGGCGTATGGGTATGTTATCTAAAAAATTTTATGTCTTCCTAAATGTTTGTTTCTGTTTTTTGTTTTGTTTTGTTTTGTTTTTGTTTTTTTTTTTTTGGTTTTTCAAGACAGGGTTTCTCTGTGTAGCTTTGCGCCTTTCCTGGAACTCACTTGGTAGCCCAGGCTGGCCTCGAACTCACAGAGATCCGCCTGGCTCTGCCTCCCGAGTGCTGGGATTAAAGGCGTGCGCCACCACCGCCCGGCTGTTTCTGTTTTTTTTAAAGATTTAACACTATTGGTCTTCTAATAGTCCCAGTTCAATTAAAATTTAAAGCTGACTTTGGAGTTGGAGAATGGCTCTCTCCTTCTTTAAACTCAAGCATGTTGTTAAAAGGAAAATGCACCCTGCATCATGCCAGAAGAAAAGAGCCATCTTCTGCTATGGGACAGGAGAAAAGCCAAATTAATTAAGGGACTATTCTATTACTAATCTCAACTCTTTGATTCTATTCTGATTCTTTAAACTTTTCTTAAAGTATAAATTTTATATCAAAATTTGCAAGATTAATATATATAGATATATATACATTTTAAACTTTGTTAAGATATGAATGGTCATATAGAGTACTAATTAATTCTAGAAAAAAAGGCTTCAATTAGCGGCATATATATGTCTTTGTGTTCAATTCTCTTATCAGTTTTCTGCAGGAAATCACGGCCAGGCCTAACATCAACTGAAGTCTCCAGGAGGAAGACAGGGCCCCACAACAACAACAATTCCACGTGGACAATAATAATATCAATAAGCTGACAAACATCATCTACAGATCAGCTTTGAGCTACAAGGTGCCCAGAGCAATTTTGCGATGACTAGCTGAGATGATCCAGTCTCAAAGACTACTTGAATAAGGACTTGAGAAAAACCCTGAACTTTGGCATTATACACAGACTGGATAATAAAGGATATAGTTACCTTTTCTAGAATTTGACAATTAACCTAAAATTTTTCTTTCAGCATAAATATAACTTCGCCCATACCCAGCAGGAAGCAATTTTAAGAATACAACGCCCACATTCCCAAAGAGGTGGTGTGGGGTGGGTGGTTTTTAGGTCTCTTTAATGGGTTTTGAGTCTGGGATAATTTTCATTGTTTAGGGGGGTTGGTTACAAGTTGTTGTCAAGGGTTAGGAAAAAGGCTAAGCAAAGGAGATTAGATTTAAGGTTCTTGTTTAAAAAAAAGAGAAAGAAAAAAAGAAGAAGAAAAAGACAATTACTAGTTTTAAATACTTTACATTGGATTGGATTGTTTTATATTGTATACAAATTATATATATTGAAATTGATATTGTTAGAAAATGCTATATGTATATTTCTAATTGTACTTATACCGTTCATTTAACAATGCAATTTTCTGATCCTTGAATGTTATTATTACCAACTATTAGGATATAAAGAAATGAAAGTTAGTAGTTAGACATTATAATAGAACTTGTAGTTATATTAGATATGTTTTAAAAATTGAGCAGATATATTTTAGACAGGTCATCTTCAAACCCTTCAGAGATCTACAGAATATGGCATTTAAAATGTTTTAATAACTTAGAAAATTTTTCTTTTTTGAGACATGTCGGCTCCTGGCAGTACCAATCTACCTCAGAGAAAATATGGGCATTGAAGAAACTGTGTATGGAGTTAACTTTCATTGTGGCAAAAGTTAGCCACTGGACAACAAAGTATCCTTGAATCAACAGGACCAAATGGACAGACAGGATATGAAACAAAGGACTACTGATTCTTGCCAAAACAAGTGTGGTTATGACTTTATCAAAAGGCATCTTCTGAGGCCAGGACAATATGGCACCATCCCTGAAGTGGCCTTTGCAATTTGGAAAAGGCACAGTGCCCTTTTCTTCAAAGGCACCTGAACAGGCAGTGAGCTTCTGATGTGCTATGGAACAGCAGCTGAAACAGTTATTCTTGAAGAGTAACTAAGCTCATGCCTCTCAATAGTAGACTGGCATTTGATAGAGGGATGTGGAGAAGAACGGGATGCTGAGATGAAGCCATATATACACAGCCAAGAAGAATGGACAGCTGAATTAAAAAACCATCAACAATTTCCAGAATTTAAAATCCTGAATCATGACATGACACTAGTGGAATTCAGGTGTTTCTGGTACATGGACTGCTCTCACCCAATGTGAGGTTGAACTGTTGACCTTGTGTACATCCTGCTTCACAAATGAGTCTGTCAGATATGCTAAGCCTATAGGCTGAAGATGATGCCCCAGCACTGCGGAGAAACATCAGGTGACTGTCCAACCGGCTGTTTCTGTCAACTCACAAAATTTTTTGGAAGTTGCTTGCATGCACTTCCTGTTTTTATTTTTGTTAGCTAATATTATTTCCTTCTTGGGACTCTGAGGGAGTTGAAGACTAGTCAGTTATAGTTGAAGGTTAGTTAGTTATAGTTGAAGATTAATTAGGATAGAAAGTGAATTAGATACATTTTGGACTTACCAAAATAGGATAGATAATGAAATTACTTTCTCTGAATTTGTCAAATACAAATGGACTAGACATTGTTTAGATATTTATTACTTGTATATATTAAATATATTTATTGTACTTTTGTATATAGTTTTTCTTTTGTTAGTTATAACCTTTTTCTTTTTTTCCTTTTTATTAAAATAGAAAAGGGAAAATGTGGTATTTTACTTGTACTGAAATGTGATTTTAATTGTATATTAATAAAAAAAGTTGCCCAGGGGTCAGAGCTATTAGAGCCATAGCAAGAGCATGGTAGTGGTGGCACACGCCTTTAATCCCAGCACTTGGTAGACAGAGCTAGGTAGACCTCTGTGTGTTCAAGGATACAGCCAACATTGGAGACATACGCCTTTAATCTCAATACCATAGAGGACATGGAGGGCTGTACATACAGGCAGTGAGGAAGCAGTCATGTGTTTGGGTTTACAACCAATAAGAAGGCAGAACAGACAGTCTCTATAAAGATGGACAGGAAGTAGGCCCCTTTCAGAGAGCTCTCTTGGCTGAAGCAGGAAGGGTAAGGCTCTTAGCTCTGACCTCTTGGCTTTCTTCTCTGAATCGGCTCTGTGTTTCTTATTTAATAAAACAGTTGGTTACATCTACACCCTCACATGAAGAATCTAGCTAATAGTATGTGTATGTGAGAAACAACAAACACCAGAGCACAGGAGAATATGGAGAAAAGAGAACAAGAATGGATAATTATCAGGGTTGAGGTAAGACTGAATAAACTTAATCAACACAAGTTATGAAAAAGGCCATAAAGCTAAGTGCTTTTCTAGCTCTAATTCTATCACAGTTACTTTTTTCCTGGTAAGATGATAAAAATATATTCAATAATAAACATAAAACCCCTTTTGTAAGACTCCAGAACTTCTGTTTACAATGACTACTCTAACTACACAAAAGTACATTGATTTGTCCAGTATTTAGGTCTGGTTAATTTCAGTGTGTGAGGTTTTTTTGTTGTTGTTGTTCATTTCTTTTTTGGAGCATTTGTCATAATAAAATTTAAACTATTATCAGCAGCAGAAAATTAAAGGCTTACAATATCTGAACATATAACATTTCTAGAAAAGTAGGCATGACCACTAACCTGGGAAATGCTTACTGGAGAATCAGCCATTCCTTTCTGTTTCTTTTCTATGAGTTTCTCTTTCAGGAAGAAGGAATAGATGACTTGCTGACCTTTCATATAAGCGATCAAAAAGAAAAGGAAAAAATTAATGCTGAAAGTTGTAGCCCAAATCCTAATTGTTCTTATTAATAAAAACCCAGAGTCAGATATCAGGGTGAAAGCTGAAAGATCAGAGAAGCAGAGCAGCCAGTCACTAGTTCTTACCTCTGTGAGATCCTCTGAGTGAAAGAGTGCTGAGCTGCTGTCTCCTTCCACATTATATTCCTTTCTCTGCCCAGCCATTCCACTTCCTATCTCAATCTCCCTAGTACTGGGATTAAAGGCATGTGTGCCTCCCCAGTACTGGGAGCAATGGCATGAGATCCCAATTGCTGGGATTAAAGGTGTGTGTCACCACTGCCTGGCTTTGTTTCTCTTTTAGACTAGATCAATCTTGTGTAGCCCAGGGTGGCCTTGAACTCACAAAGATCTGTCATCTCTGCCTCCCAAATGCTGGGATTAAAGGTACATTCCACCACTGCTTGGCATCTATATCTAACTATTGCCTGGGTTTGCCCTCTGATCTTCAGGCAAGCTTTATTTGTAAGAGCATACACAAACTACCACCACAGAATCCTGTTAGGGAACAATGTCAAACCACATGAAAACACAGAAGCAACAGAATATGACCAGGTGTCCACACAACGATCCAAGGTTAAGGAGAACGTGGAATGACATTTAAAGCTTGAATAGAAGCATGGGCTGTGGGCGGGGAAGGCACTGCTATGAATTTGGCAGGCTGTGTGGCCCAGGGGCAATTGCAGGGACCCCGGGCGCCACTAAGTGGGCTGGCAGGCTATGAGGAGGCCCAGAGGAGGCTCTTTCTGGACCAGGTTCCTGCTTGCTCAGGGAGTCATAAGGTGGAGGCTTTGCAGCATGGCACAGGTGGCAGCCAGGTCATCTCAGAGGCTGCATGGGGATTAGGCATGGGCGGGCGCTAGGGTGGGCAGTGGACACCAATGGGCCCAGACATGGCCAGAGGGTTCTGTATTGGCCACGTGCGGAAAACCATGGGGCAGAGCTGGCAGGATCCAGCAGGGGCCTGGAGGAACTCAGAGTGTGCCTGAACCTGCTGGGAGCTAGTGGAGAACTAACTGCCCCTCCAGGGTGGCAGCTGAGAAGTGTCCTACAGGTCTGTGGGCCCAGCCAGGGACAGATAGTCCCTTCCAGTATGCCATTCTTATGCACTTGAAAATATGAGATTAACAGCGATCTTCTGTCCCCATTGTGGATGCCTTCCAGGTCCTCTGTCTCTCCAATGCTGAAGGTTGGGGCTCCTAAAACCTGCCCTGGGGCTAAATCTGACAGAGGTTTATCTCCAAGAGTAGAATGGAATGTCACTGCCTATGTTTGCTAAGCTACCATGGCTATGTTATAATGCTAACCAACAGTTTCTTTTCTGTGGCACAGTGCTGACACAATTTAGAGTTATTCTTGCTGTAGTATATGTATGTATTTCTATTCTTGTTCAAAATTTTATTGCTGTACAATATATTGTAGACTAGTGAGGAAAATCACAAGACTTTGGTAAGAGTTTCTATGTTTAAAAAAAGGAAAGGCAAAGCAGAATTTGTCTGAAGTAAATGTCTGAGGGATCAAAGGAATGGACTGAGGGTACATGGAAGGTTGCAGAAAGTCAGAGGAAATGTGATGTGAAATCTGTTTATTGTTGTTTCTTATATCTGCAAATACTGAATTTGAAAGTTAATTCTGGTTGGTTTTCATTTTAAAATTAGCCGATGTTCTTTACTACAAATTGTTTATGTTAAAGATGGAGATATATATGTGTGTGTATGTGGACATGTATGTGACTTGGATTTAACTATATGTGTAAATGTAAGCAAGCTTTCACAGTATATATGTGCATGTAACTCAGATCCAACTGGGTGTATGTGTGGACACAATTATTGTTTGGGAAATCATGCTTTAACCAGCAACCACCTGACTTTGCTCCATCTTTGCTGGTGTCCTCATGGGCAGTCACATGGCTGGCAGCCATTTTTTACTAAGTTTATAAAGATCTATTAAGGTTAACAAAAGCTAACATAGAGATATAACATAGAGATATAAGTATTTATGTCTTTACAAAATGTTCAACAGCAAGCTTCTAGGGAATTTAAATAGATGGCTATATATGTTTAATAAATAAGGTATTTGATAAATATTAAAGCCACACTTCAATGCTTTTGTACACAAGAATTTACCTTGCTCTGGTAGCTAAACTTTGTAATTTAACATTTACCCATTTAATAAGATAATAATAGTTTTAAAGACATGAAGGGATTATAGGAAACAGCTGAGGTCTACAAATGTATGGCAGGGCTACAGTCCTAAAAAGGGTCTAGTTTCAGTTGTGGACCTTAGCAGTTTTATAAATGTCAGTGCCAGGTGATCATCACCAGAAGTACCTGTCATAATGAAATGGGGCAGGCTGGAATCTAGAAGAGAGGATATATATATGCTGCCAAGATAGGACCAAAGAAATCATCCAAGCCTCTAAGTTAAAGAACCAAAAGAATCATGAATGAATCCCAGATATTAAACTTTGGGATTGTTTGCACTCAGGAGCTTGGTTTTACTTTATACAAATTGTGGTGATGCCATGTTTTCTCCCTCTTAAAGGAAAAGAAAGTACTTTATTATTGATATTGCAGGAAGACATTTGAGAAAAACAGTTTTTAAAATATTTATGTTTATAAGGCTATGGGACACTTTCAGTTTATAAAATGCTCTATATTGTTAGTATTTGGACTTAGAATAAAAGGCTAAAAATTAGGGTCACAGCCATAAGCTCCAAATACTAACTAGAAACTGGGATGTTCATTTCTTTTGATGCAGCAAGACAGTGACCTGAGCATTCTGACAAAGGGCTTGGAACAGCTTCTGACTCCATGAATCCTGACTCTTTGGGAATTGAAAAAATATTTTTACTGCGGTAGCCTAGGACTACCTGAATGTCCGATGTTCACATAGAGATTCAACAATGGCAAAACAGTAGTTATGAAATAGCATTGAGAAAGTTAAAAACCAGTGAAGCTTAAGAACTTATGCCTAGGGGCTGGAGAGATGGCTCAGTAGTTAAGAGCTCTGGCTGCTCATCCAGAAGACCTGGGTTCAATTCTCAGCACCCACATGGCATCTCACTACTGTCTGGAACTCAGGCTCAAGGAGGTCTGGCATCTTCCCACAGATAGACATGCAGGGAAAACACCAATGCACATTAAAAATGAATAAATTACTAAAAAAAGAATGTATGCCTAGCCTCCTTGCCTTTGCTAAGTTTGTTAAGCTCAAGCTATTTGGATAAATTGATTCATATGTATGTCTTATATTAATATTTTATTTTTGTTTCTTTCCTGAACCCATATTGGTGATAGAAGAGCTTCTATTTAAAATCATTGTTTTTAAGACTACTTATTGTAGACTGTTAGAGAACATAAGTAGATAGTCAGTCATAAATAATCAAGTTTTTAAATTGTAGTCAAGGTAAGTATTGATGTAATATTACAAGTTAAAGCTTCACTTAGTCCCTTGCATATGTTTTTAGAGTTGAGCTTGAAACAAATAACTAGAAACAAAGTTTTTCTCTTCAGATATACCTGGACAGCTCTCATACTTCAGAGATCTGCAGAATATGGCATTTAAAATGTTGATCTGAAAGTTTATTATATCAGACAGACTTTGAGATCCTAGCAGTGACCCAATGTCTCCGAAGAAGATAATGTACGAGGCACCACAATTTCTGCCTGGATTATGGCAATACTGACCACAGGGCACGATAGCCCAATGCAACACCTGCCTCCAGGACCCAGCCCAGATTGTGGACAAGCAGTAGGACACTGGAAATGATTGCACTCCTTTGCCTGGACAAAATAATGTCAGTCTTATGTGTCCCTATTCCACAAAAAAAATTCTGTCTTATGGGCCTGATGGCAGAAGAAGAGGATGATGTTCTGATTTGTGCCTCCAACGCTATGGAGACCTAGGTATGGACCAGTGCCTGTCTTTTATAGAATTGGAAGCTCCTTGGTCTGCACTCAGGTATAATTTATCCTTCTCAGATCTCTGATAGTACTGATAGCTAGGTTAGCTCTAACTTTGTCAGCCTAGCAGCATCAGACAACCAGATCTATAGTCAGCTTGTTAGCTCATTTTAAGAGAATGCTCTAAGATATAAAAATTTAAATAAGTTATAAAGGCTTAATATGGGTCTAAACAAGGTCTGAGGATATAAAAGCATATAAGCTTTGATGATCTCAAAAAAATTTAAGGTAAAAAAAATGTTTCAGATTGCTCTCCTGTTCTATTACCTTAACAGTTTAGAGCTTAACATTTAAGATATTACAGCTAAGCTGGTAGAACAATGACTAATTAGTGTTCAGTCACAAGCTCAACATTTTAGATGTTATCTAAATATGTCTAAATATAAACCTACAAGTGCTTCTCATTAGGCCAAAAAAATCTCTGTCCAATTTATACCTAGTTCTCTGGACAGAAGGAAAATGTACATGTTTTAAATCCAAAATCTGTAGTTCTTATTGGGACTCAGAAGTATGAGTCCACTTCTGCTGTTTTACAGAAACCCATCACCTGCTTTGTCTATGATATGGATTTCAGTACAGACTGGTAATACTAATATATCTAAAACTTTTATGTCATTTGTAAGATCTGGATTTACTTCACAGAGGTTGGAAGGGACCCCAGATAAGTGCAGCTTATTCCTAAGGATGGTATTTTTTCTCTCTCCTGGTATTGGGACTCCTGCTCTTCCCAGTTACTAAGGATATGGGCCTAAGGGTTCCAAATAAGTTTATAAATTTTACCTTCTGTTCCTAGTTTTAGTTTGTCTCAACAGATTTCCACTTGGCTGGCAGACACCTCCAAGCTTCAGTTCCTGACTACACTGCACCAAACAACTGTGAGCTCTAGACTTGCTAAAAGCTGTTGTGGACCAGCCCGACCAAAATGATTGCTCCCTGTTGCTACAGGGTCAGATAGCCACATGCTTCTGACAAATGCCCCATTGCCCAGACTTTGACCAGCCTTTCAACCTTTTTGGGGCCCTGACAATGGTGCCCCAATGCCAGCTCAAAGCAGTTCCAGAAGAGAATATATTGTATCATGTTCCCTGTCCAGATAAGGCTGAAATGCTGGGTCAAAAGGAAACTCCCAGGCATAGAAGCAAGATGGCCAACTATAATCCTCATGGACATACTAGGAAAATAGGTTCAGAATTGTCAATTGATAAATTTATTAACTGAAATGATTTTGCAATAAGATAAGATACTTGAACTTCTTTATGCAGAACCAAATAGGTATTATATAGGATCATAATCTGGTTTTACTCAAAACTCAGAGCTAGCAGGCCTTAAAAATGACAATAGATACTGTCCTAGAAAAGTCTGTTAGCTAATGGTTTTTAGGTCCCAATATCCTTGAAACTTTGGACAGTTAGGACTCATGATTGAATCCTGACATTAATATTTGTGAATCAAGAATTATGAAGGTCTATACTTGATTTTACATGCCCCATCTTATGGAAAGAGCCACCATCCCAGACCACCTACTGTATTCAGTTCGAGGAAGAAACTCAGGAATATGCCATGGCAACTTGAACAGATACAGGGAAGTAAAGTTTAATAGGATCCAGATACTCCTGCAGATCTCCTGACTGCAATTTATGGCCCTTAAAGGTATCTAAATAATCCTGCTGAGCAATCCAGATAATTCTGCTCAGAGGGTTGTGGTTCCCCTCCAAAAGTCTATACCAATGGTTTCAAATGTGGTTTTGTGTTCAAAGTCTAAACCAACAGTTTCAAAAAAAATCACCTTGCCACATATTCCTTCTCCCCAATCTCAAGCATGTAATCCTGGCTTGTGGTTTTTCCCTACAGAAACTCTCTAAACCTGGGCTATGGCTGCCACCACATTTCCATCCATCTGCCTGGCAGTGGACCAGGTTGAACTTCTATAAAAGGACCCTTATGTGCTTGCATCGTAAACCAGCTCCTTGATGGTCTCTGGGGGTTTCTTGAAATGGGTACAAAAAAAACAGTAAGTGAAGCATGATCCTAATTAGTCTTAATAAAAACCCAGAGTCAGATATTTGGGTGAAAGTTGAAAGATCAGAGAAGCTGAGCAGAAACAAATTCTTACCTCTATGAATCCTCTGACTGAATGAGTCCCGACCTGTCTCTATGAAACCTTGGACTGAATGGGCAGAGATCCTGTCTCCACCTGCCTTATATTCATGTCTCCACCTCTTGATTATTCGGGATTAAAGCTGTGTGTCACCACTGCCTCTCTTTTAGCTTGATTCAATTTCCTGTAGCCCAGGCTGGTCTTGATTTGTTGCTCTTCCTGCTTCCCTCTACCAAGTTTTGGGCTTAAAGGTGTATGCCATCACTGCCTGGCCTCTATTGTTAATTAGGGGCTAGCTCTGCCCTAATCTCAGCACTAATGAAGTGGAGACAGGAATATGAAGCAGGTGGAGACAGTGTCTTGGGCCATTCAGTCTGAGGACTTTTAGAGGTATTATATAGGATCGTAATCTGGTTGTACTCAAAGATCTCCCCATGCCATTTGTTCTGAGATTTTATAGAGGTAAGAAGTCTCTCTGGTGGCTGTCTGCTCAGTGTCTCTGATCCTCAGGCAAGCTTTATTTGTCAGAATACTAACAAAATGTCATACAACAGTAAGGATGTTGGAAAAAGTCATAAGGAATCTTACTATTATCTACCCCAAATGCCTATACTACCTATAAGTGTGTGCATGCATATTCAGTTAGAATATAAATGAAACTATCCTTTCTCAGCTGAAGATGCTCCTCACAAGGGACATAAATTTTCTAACAAACCACCTCTATCAGCCTGCTTTGAAGTTGTTGGTCATAGCTGTCCCTGAGATTCTCCAAACATTACAGGCTACTGCTATTGATCATGGCTTTCTCACAGAGGCAGAAGGAGAACTCCAAATTTGAAGAAGCCATGTACTTAAGTCACAGCCAGAGGATTTGAGATGGATCAGAATTTTAAGCTTCCTTCCTTGGGGAGTATCTTTCATGGTACCAGAAGGCAATATGGAATCTTTCAAAGGAGGAATCCAACCAATAGTCTCACCCAGCTATGACACCTATGAACCAAAACAATGATTGGCCCTGCACAATAACCAAATGGGGCTAGATTAGCACACATGCCTTGGTGGTAACCAACAGCTTCTAACTGGATTAAGACCCTCTCAACAAGAGGTAAATCATGACTGGTACTGGAAGCCCACCCAGTTTATGGGGGTAAGTGAAGGATGGATATTTTAGGAGAACCTAAATCCACTATGTATCACTCTTATCAGTAGTCATATAAATTTGATTTGCCTCCCAGTATCAATTGTTCTGTAGAAAGTCTTCTCATTGCCAGGTAGTGGTGACATAAGCCTTTAATTCTAGCACTTGGAAGACAGAGGCAGATGGATCTCTGTGATTTGGAGGTCAGCCTGGGCTACAGAGTGAGTTCCAGGAAAGGCGTAAAGCTACACAGAGAAACCCTGTCTCAAAAAACTAAGAAAAGAAAGAAAGAAAGGGAGAAAGAAAGAAAAAAAGAAAGAAAGAAAGAAAGAAAGAAAGAAAGAAAGAAAGAAAGAAAGAAAGAAAGAAAGAAAGTTTTCTCATAGCTATAACAGGATAATCTTGAGATCTTTCTCAGTGGAAGTCTGCAGAACTATTTCTAGCAAAACAGAATATGGTGAATCTCAATTCATGTCCCCTTGGTTCTTTAGCTATTATTTTCTCTCTTTCCATCTTTCTGGGTCTTTTTTGGCTCCAGAGTTGAGCTGGTCTGGGTGATCAGTGAACATTGCACATGAGAAAGAGATTGATTAGAAAGCACCTGTATTTCTCAAACAGTATTGTGTTCATTAGATGAAGAGAGGAATCTACAAGTTATTCCTTATTGCGGGATATTTGATGGCACTGTGAAACACTTATACTGTGCTAATGAAGTCATCATTGGAAGAGGGGGTGGAGCAAGCAACTATTTGACATGAATTAGCTATAGAGAGGAGGGAGATGCCAGGGAGACACACAGGATTTAGTAGTGAGGGACTTAGAGTTTCATGGTCTTTTTTATTTGGTACAGCTTTAGAGACACTTGCTGGTTCTTCAACTGAAAAGGAAGATCAGCTGGTTGCTTCTCAGCCTCTCTAATCTAGTAGCTTTTCACCACAACATTGAAGTTCTGTGTCTTTATTGGTAAATAGAACAATAGAGTCTTAGTTTAAAACTTTATTTGGTGACCCCAGAGCTGATGGCTGCAGACCTGGAAATCCCACCTGGCCAAAGCCCTGAGCAATGGGTGTTGACTATGGGGCTGTGGGACAAAGGATGGTTGTTTAAATATCAGGAGCTTCTGGTGCAACCACTAAGCTGACAGTAAAACAATTCCCCAATTGTCATGCAGAGTCAGAATACTGAAAATATTCATAAAGCATTGAGTGAAACTTGAATGCCACTTCCAATCACAGCTCAGTCAAATCTCAGGGGAAGAAATGGAACTGAATGATTGGGATCACAAAAGCATACAGAAATGAATTAGTGGATTTATCATGGACCAAATTTGATGGAAGTCTTAAATCGCCCCAAGGGAAACACACCTGCAGAGTAAATTTCCAAGAAACCCTGAGAAGGAGCAAGGGAGACTGCAAGCAAACTCTTCTCACCCACAGAGACCAGAATGCTGCAACTCTGCAACATCCAGTCTATGTACAAAGCCCTCCTCCTGGGAGAAGTCCACAGTCACACCACTGGCTGTCAACAGAACTCAAAATGAAACATAACAGTTTGAACAGTTGTGTTTGTGCATATCTTTAATCTACTAGTTGGTAGAAACAGGTGTGTGGAACTATGTGAGTTCCATTACAGCCTGGTCTACATGGTGAATTCCTGGCCAGATAGAGCAACACTGTGAGTTCAGGTCTTTTTTTTTTTAGCTTTCTTGCATTATTATTAGAGCAAAATTAATGACCAAAATCCACAAGTTTAACATTTGTCATCAATTAAGTCACATCCAAAAAATTAAAGTAAACATAATTTGTCAAAACAATAGCAAACTTAAAAGGGATTTCTTTGTGATTTCGTATATATATTTAGCTTGTAAATACAAGACTGTAAATGTATTAAGAGACAATTTCTGTTAAAGTTTTCATTGTGTTTCACTTCAAGTACTGCACAAGTTAAAATCTGATAAAGGATTTACATTTGGTTATCTGAAACTCCTCATCTCAGACTTGTGTTTTAATGTGGTGGAGAATTCCACTGCCATCACCACCACCAGCAGGAAGGTCTCTCTATGGCTTCTGGGACTCTCGTTAGTTAGTGTGCATACAGTTTTCATTCTCTTGGTCATTGTCATTGTCATTGCTGTCATTGTCGTCACTTTCCAGGGGGATGCCCATGGCAGCTGAAGCACCTTTCATTTCTCCGTACAGAGGGAAGAAGCCAGTACCACTGAAAGTGTCCTGTCTCTGGTAGAAGAGGACGTTCGCTGCTTTGGACATAATTTGTTCTTCGGATGCAGTGGAGACACTGTTGTCATCAAAAGAGTACCATTTGCCATCATCTTTATTTTTCACAAAAGCAGTATAATGACCTCCATAGTGACATTTTGATCTCCCATCTTGTATTTATCCCAACTGTCAAAGCCAACATACTTTTTCACTGTTTGAACCAGCGACTATATACTAGATACCAGATGTCCCCTTTCCAGAGTGAGGCTTTGAGCAGCATCTCGATGTCAGAACGCTGGGTGTCCAGGTCCGCCATTCTGCACTTCTTCTTCCACTAGCGACAGTGGAGGTGGCTGTGAGTTCAGGTCTGAAATAAAAGAAAATGCCAGAACCAAAAACCATTTTGTTCATGCATCCATGGACATAGTGCTTATCTTGGAACAAGGATGCAAAAGACTATTGTAGACATTTTCTGATATAGATGAGTTATTATAATTATTCAAAAGATGCTTTCTAAAGTTCTCTTATATAATAATACCCTTTCATTTCTTTTTCCTTCCTGCCCATGCTCTAGAAACAGGGTTTCTCTGTGTAGTCCCAGCTGTCCTTAAACTCGCTCTGAAGACAAAGTTGGCAAGGACCTGCCTCTGCTTCCCAATGCTGGGATTAAAGGTATGTGCCACCACCACCTTTAATTTAAGGTTTATAATACCTTTTCTAACTTTGAAAATACTGTGATCTGATACCATGAAACAGCATACTGTGATTTTCAAGGCTCTAAGTTGCAGCATTAAGAACTCAGCACAAAAACACACGTTTCCTTTTTCTTTCTCTGTTTTGAGACAGGGACTCATCCTGAAGCCCTGGGTGTTCTCTAACTCACTTTGGAGACCAGGCTGTCCTCCATCACACTGAGGTCCATCAGCTGTTTTCACCTTAGTGTTGGGATTAAAGGCCTGTGCCACCAAGCTTATCAGAGACTCTTTTCAGAATGTTGTATTTATATAACAGAGTGCATACATCTCAGATGGAAAATTAATGGTGGTTAAAAATGGGTACCTTTAAATGTGAATGTTTACAATCTTATCTGTGGAATTCACAAAAATGACAATTTTGGATTTAATTACATTACAGGTTTTTCTTTCAAGACTGATATCTAAAAGCTCTCTGGGAATTGCTAAATCCCTAGTCCTATATGCCACTCTCTTGAATAGGGAAGGGGATTAACATGGAAGTCAGTGTGCATGAATGTAAACTTGAAGAGCTATGTCCTTTCTACCATAGCAAAGAGAACTGTGTTTGCAAATATCAACACATAAATTCAAATATTCTACTAGAATACTCTTTTATTATTATTAAGAAAATTTCTATTGGTTTTACACACCAACCAAAGATCCTACTACCCTCTCTCCTCCTCCCCCCAACCTTAGAGCCCAAACTGACCCACCATTCCCACCTCTTCCAAGACTAGGCCTTCCATGGGAAGTCAGCAGAGCCTGACACAATCAGATGAGGCAGGTCCAAGCCCCTTCCCCTGCAACAAGGCTATGTAAGGTGTCCCACCATAGGCAGTGGCCTCAAAAAGCCCGCTCATGCACAAGTGATGGATCCTGATCCCACTGCCAGGTGGCCCCTTAAGCAGATCAACTACACAAATGTCTTGCCTATGATGAGGGCCTAGTCCAGTCACATGGTGGCTCCACAGCTATTGGTCCATGGTTCATGACTTCCTACTTGTTTGGTTTGGTTGTCTCTGTATGTTTCCTCATCATGATCTTAATGCCCCTTGCTCATAGAATCCCTCTTCTCTCTCTTCAAGTGGACTCCTGAAGCTTCACCTGGTGCTTGATTGTGGATCTCTGTATCTGCTTCCATCAGTTACTGGATGAAAGCTATATGATAACAGGTAGGGTATTCACTGATCTGATTACCTGGGTAGATAAGTTCATGCACCCTCTCTTCTACTGCTAGTAGTCTAAGGTGAGGTTATCATTGTGGATTCCTGGGAACTTCCCTAGCACCTGGTTTCTTCCCATCTCCAGGATGTCTCCCTCTGTCATGGTATCTCTCTCATTGCTCTCCCACTCAGTCCCTGTTCCAGATCGACCATCCCATTCCCTTAGGTTCTCATTCCCCATCCCGTACCCTCCCTTCCCCCCCACTGCAAGTTTACTCATGGAGATCTCATGTATTTCCCCATCCCAAGGCAATCCATGCATCCCTCTTAGGTTTCTCCTTGTTAGATAGCATCTCTGGAGATGTGCTTTGTAATCTGTTTACCCTATGCTTTATATCTAGTATTTAATTATGAGTGAGTAAAACCTCACACCCCAAAACCACCCCCCATTACAACCCCAGTTTCAGTCCAGCACTCAGGCTGGACTACCACCATCCCCCACTGGACCCTGTAACCTACAAGCCCCACCCAATCCCCCAAACCTTCCCACCCTCCTAGACTACAGCTGTTCCTTGAGACAAAGAATGCCAGTGTCAATTGGACTAAGAGGTGAGTCTTTTCTCCTAGTTCATCACCCTATCCTCTAGGCTTTGGGCCCGGGCAACACCTCATGCCACTATACCACCACCCATTGATTGCATCCCCAGTTTCAGGCCAGTAGGCAGGACTCCTGCAGGCAAGATGGACAAGATTATTCTTATAAGAATAATTTGGCAATGAAAGTGAATCCAAAAAAAGGGAAGATTATGACAAGTCATATAATCTGAAATTTATCATCAAGGGTAAAATATCCACAACAGAAATTCAGAGCCAATTTTCTTATGTTTAGCAGAGAAACTAATTCAACACCTGGTCCCTTCCCTCCTGTGTCCCAGCCCCGCATTTTCTGCCACTGTTCTGTTGACTGGTGACTTTTCTGGGATTCCACAGATTCTGGAATCTGTGGCTGTGAGTAGTCTTTTAATCCCATTGAGTATCTAGCCTTACCCTTCGCAGCCAAGTCTGCACCGAGTGATTCCTCACTTTGCAGACCTGGAAGCTTATGGCTTTTGCTCCACAGTTCAACTTCCCAGTCCTCCCTCACTTGATATCCCAGAATTCAATTTCTTGACTTATCTAGCTACTTCCACTCTAAGGTGTTGTCCTACACTCAGCTAAAGTCCACCTTCCTCCCAACCTCTGTTTACAGGTGAGTGGGACCGCCCAAATGTACCAGTCCCTCCCACTGTCTCAGGCTGCCTTCCACACAGCTCCAGCTGTCAGGCTGCTGCCTATGATCCAACCTGCACAGCCTCCCCACATGCTTGCTACCAGCCTACACCAGAATTAGATCTAGGAGGATGCTGCACCCTGATATCCGACCCCCAGTGTGAGTTCTGAGCCCTTCATATAAAAGATAGGCAGCCTAGCCTCTACATAATTAAAAAAAAAATGATAAAAGGCTAAATTCAGATGCTAGCCTCCCAGTGCAAACACAACATAACTAGCCAAAACTAAATATTGCAATTGTGACTTGGGGAGAGACATTCCAGTGACTTGGATTTTGAAAAGAAAAAGGTGTCTCAAGAAATCAGTGGTCAGCCCATTGCTAAAAGCCCTGGACTGAGTTCATGCTGAACTGTACTGCTCTTGTTATGCCCAGATTGTGACCCCAAAGATTCTACCACAGACCTTAGGTACAGAATGCAATAGCATGGTTTATTTCTGTTTGTTTACAAGTTGCGGGCAGGGAAGCTCGACCCAAAGCACTCACTCGTAGTAACCGTAGTAACCGTGAGGCCAGGAGGAACTTGCTTTTTCTTTGTGTGGCTAGCTTTTTAAAGGCAAAATCCACAAGCCCTTCAGGGGGTTGGGGGAGTTTTGCACAGGTACAACTCGGATTGATTTATTTTTATCTCTGTTCTCTTTTAATTGGGTGAGGGTATGTAACCTTTGAATTTACTGGTAGGTGGTTACAATTTATTACTTTGGGGGTAGTCCAGCACAAGTCCTAGGCTTTGTCCTTGAGCCACCATGGGGGCTGGCTGGCCAAGCACATACTGCAAATAACTCTAAGTTGGTGAGGGGCCCCAGACAGTAAACATCCGGCTGAACTTTGAGCAGTCTTTTGTTCATGGTCCTCTCAGAAACTGCTTGCTCAAGTCTCAGAAAACTGAAATTGAGGCCTGATCTCTGAGAAAAGACTGAACAGCCTGTTATGGCATCTGCTTGTTTCTTTCATTCCCCCCTTGAGTTGTATATCATCTCCAATCATGGAGATGTTGCTTTTGGTAAAAGACTTTGTCACCAGGGTAGTAGATCATATCAGAGACTAATTGGACCAGAACATAAGAGTTTTTCCATTATCAATGGCAAAGCGAGCTTCCCCTTATTCAGTTTTTGCCATCTGCAAGTGTGTCATGGGTTTAGAGGTGGATATTGGAATTCTAGCATCCTCAGTTTAGTGGTACCCAGACAGGAATCTTCATTTAGTTAAGACACCAGTGATATAAGAGCCAACAGCAATTAGCAGAAGCACAATGGCCAAAAGCCTTGTGATGACTGACAGAGTTCCTTATCCTCAAGGAACTTGGAACTTTATCTCAGGTTCCCTATGACAAGAAATTCCCTTTTGATCTAACATTCCGGGGGGGGGGGAAGGGCGATGTTTTCTCTTCTGTAATTACTTCCTGCTGACATTGGGACATTGTTGTCAGAGCCCTGGAAAGCCAGAATGTTAGTCAAACACAAGAGGGAACGTTTTATTGACCAGCTGAAGAGATGGTATGCATATCGGCTGAATTGGTCCATATCAGCTTTCAGCAAGTTCAGGGCTCACAGTCATTTGCAGTAGGTTGTCACCAGCAAATGATGCTTGGATGTATCTGTCAGCCAAGTGGAAACCTGTTGAGACAGATATAAACTAGGAACAGGAGTTAAAACTTACAAACTTATTTGGAACTTTTAGACCCATAGTCTTAATAATTGTAGTATTATCAATTTGCCCTGAAATCCATAGTGTCTTTTCTATATAGAGAGCCAAGTATAGATTGGACTGAAATTTCTTTGGCCCAATGAAAAGCATCTGTAAATCTATATTTAGAACCTGTTTATCTTTTTTAAAGAGACTTATTAGCTTTAATTAATTAATCCATTGATCAATCAATTACTAAGCTGACAAACGTATGACTAGCCCAGTCATCAATGTTATCAAAGATCTGAGAAGGATAAACTTTACCTGAGTGCAGACTTTTAAATCTATTTAAAAACAACAGAGACTATCCATTACCCAGACTGCCATCATCCCAGGCTCCTACAGTCTTCATAGTGTTGGCAGGACAGGTGTCAGGACAGCATCAGTCTTGGCTACTGGGCCCATA